CTTTATTTCCTATCAATTACTTGTTTGATATGTTTTTGTGGGAATTTCTCTCAAATTATTCTGTCGTCAATACCGTTGACAATAACAATACATTCATAGAATTGAATATAAAATGATAATTGAATTTAAATATAATGTATACATAAATACCAGTCGAATGCCTTCGAAAGACGGGCAGCCAGTCTCAGATGTAATGCCAACACTTCTCGAAAGGTATTATTCATTTGGATTTCAAAATTCAATATATTTTTTGTGTTGTGTTTTTGTCGTCTTTGAAAATATCTCACGAATTAATCAATCGATGGCTGAAATGCATGAATACTTTACATTCACCCGAAAAACATCACACACTTATGCTTTGACTTATTGTATGCTTTAATTATAATAATTACTGTATTTTGTGGATAATTGTAGCGAAAAAAATTAATTTCTACGAATTTTCTTCCTCTTAATGCACAAAAACTATATCTCAAATACGTTTACTATTAAATTGAATGCATTTTTATAGTTGTATTTTTATTCATTTTTAACACACAAATCGCAATCAATCACTGACTGCATGTAATTTGCATCGAATTATTTGTTTTATATTAACAAATATTAATTGATTTTTGTGTCTAATTATATCTAAATGACATTTATATACATTGTATAGACGGCTGGCGTTGATGTTCAACACTCGAGAGGCAATTCATACGATATTTATAGACAAGCGATGGAGAGGTAAACGACTCGTGAAATTTTCCCAAAGAATTGTTGAAATAATTATTTTTATACATACTTTGTTACACACAGACCTGGAAGTCGCGTTGGAATCGCTGACCACAACAGCAAATACAGCCATTATATGAATTACAAGGAAATACAGCAACAGATGCATCACTACCACCAGCAACAGCAGCAAAATGTCAATCATTATTCCGATTACGAGATCTATGTGCCACCCATTGATGGCGTTCCCGGCGATCCCACACCCCGTCCTATAATGAGAGGTCAACAACAGCCACAGCAAAGGCACATCTCCTCACCGGTGGGCCATCGGCCGCAACCCGAGAGACCAAACTATTACGAGTACGAGACGGCAGCCGCTGTACTACAGGCCAAACAACAGCTCATTCAACAGCAAAACAACGTTAATAATAATGTTTTGCCACAAAATAACAGTTCTTTGACTCGAAGGAGCAAAAAGTATACAAAACAGACTGAAAGCCACCAGACGTTACAACAGCCGACGGGAACCTCAACTCAAGTGCCAATCGTTAGACAACAGCCGCAACCCATATATCAAACAAATCAACTGAAGATCTACGGCAGCACTTATGCGAACGGATACTCATCAACCCATTCACAGGCGCCGCCCCCACAGCCCACAAACCCACCGCCCAATCATCGCATTTACGACACTATAAATGCTAACAATAGTAATGCCATTCATGACAGTAACGGCTATGAAATAGCCACCAAATATCAAAATGTTAGGCCCGGCTCTAAAGTATAAGTGCTTTAACTATGCAGTGAATGTACACTATATTATATTTTATATACATTTCCTATCAAATACATTGTTTATATACATTCATTCAAATCATGTTTTGAAACCTAATTGTTTGATACGTTTGAAAACTAATAATTGAATGCAAAACTAAACCATTATATTTGTCAATACATTACTAGTAATAATTTGGTTTAAATCTTATTTCTCTCTCATTATTATATATACAAACAATTGACCACTTTTTATGTTTTATAAATATGTCGACAATTGTCTGAGAAATTAATTTCGTTGAAAACCAAAATATAAATCGATTGTGATTTTAATCTCTAATAATTATTGATTCATTACAACTGAAACATACATAATGTTTATCATTATATACTTAAGTTATCATATTTTACAATATATTTCTTACGTTTATGAATGAAATATTTTATATAAGATATATATTCATATATATTGAAGAATTTATAACAGATATTCATATATATATTTTTCGCACACATTATTTGTATTCAAATCATTTGAATTTATATTTACACTAAAAGTTATTTAAAAAAGAAATTTATTTTTATATATAATTAAATGATATCTCGACTGAAAACAGTATTTTATGTTTTATTTTATATACATTTCCTCTCATTTACCCGCAAAACGATTGAAATATTAAGTTATCTTTTTAAGAGTTTATATCAAAAACAAACATAAAATCATTTTTAAATTGTATTATAATTGCAAAACTCAATCATATTTTGGGACCAAATCTACAAATCATTTAAACAAACAAAAAATCTTACAATTATTGATGAAATATGAATGAAAAACGAAGAGTCAGTTAACATTCACTATAAAATTATTGCATTTATTTTATAATATGAATAAATATAACTGTTTTTACATACATTTATCGATCCATTCATTCAATCAAATTAAATCCAATAAATCAATGGATTATGGGATTAAAAGTGGATTAAACTTCGCTATCGATTGGCAATTCACTGCAACTGTTGTGACAATGCATCGGATTTTGTAATAAACATCAAAACGATTGGTCTGTTTATTCTGGTCTTAAACACATTTATATAACGATATGCTTAAGACACGCTTTGAATCAATTTTAAACACAATTAAACAAAATATTTAAACGAAAAAAACGTCAAACAAATGACAGCAGAAATTGAGTGCAAAAACAGTAAAAACTTGTCTCACATTTTCAGCACTGTTTTGAGGTC